TGTGCAGTTATCGTGGTATTCATTTCATTAATTATTTGATTACTATGCTGGCAATTTCAATTTGAGTCACCCAGCAAGTGTTTGACTGCTGCCTCGGTGTACTTCAGTCATAATAATAATAATCATAATAATAACAACAACAATATCAATAGTAATTAATAAATTACCAACTTAGTATTCTTCCACGCTATGATTTGAGTACTGTCTTGATTTGATACTTTTTAAAAATGTAGTGTATTTGCACAAAGTATCAGATCGGTATCACCGATACTACCATAGATCAGTATCACCGATACTACCATGAACTTTACTCGGGATCAGATGGGAAAGGAAATCGGTGGTCTCAAACATCGCTAGAAGTTACTTACTCTGCTGTCATTCACAGAGGACTCTTCATCACCATCCATGATAGAGGCCACATTGCAACCCTGCTCAACTCGTGGCCTGAAGAGGACATAAGAGTAAATCCCTTCGTCCTTCTTGTCCCATCTTTTTATTTCATTTTGCCCCCTTCCATACCAGTCAAGTTTTTTGCCTTTATTTACGTCTAGGCCATCGTGGTGACAGACGGCGAGCGTATCCTCGGCCTCGGGGATCTGGGCAGCTATGGCATGGGCATTCCCGTGGGGAAATTGGCTCTGTACACAGCCTGCGGCGGAGTTCGGCCGCAGCAGTGCCTCCCCGTGTTGCTGGACGTGGGAACGGACAACCAGAACCTGCTCAACGATCCCCTCTACATCGGCCTGAAGCACAACCGAATCCGAGGGAAGGAGTACGACGCGCTCATCGACGAATTCATGCAGGCCGTGACGGACAAGTGAGTAGGAAAACGGCGGCGACGATGCGATCATCTCTCATCTTCTTGACGCGCCTCCCCGTCACTCCGCAGGTATGGAATGAATTGCCTGATTCAGTTTGAGGACTTCGCCAACAGCAATGCCTTCCGCATCCTCAATAAATACAGGAATCGCTACTGCACCTTCAACGACGACATCCAAGGTAGCCTTGCTAGCACAGTGTTTGTCAACCTTTATTGAGCCAAGGGACATATGTACCATATCTTGATTGGTTGGTCAGGACAAGCCCAGTCTGACTAGCAAAACAGATATGTCTACACGCATTAATACATTTAATCATCAGCATCACGTTATCAAAAATTCCAGATGATGGGTTGTATCATTGCGACGTGATAGTGGCAGTCCCAAGAGGCTGATGAAGTCGTGTAATTCACACTGAAGGCCCAGGTGTCAAATGCATCAACATCTATCTTCTATCATAGGCACGGCCTCTGTAGCGGTGGCCGGACTGCTAGCAGCTTTGAAGATCACCAAAGACAAACTGTCGAACCACACCTTCATTTTCCAAGGCGCTGGCGAGGTGACTATTCTTATTCCTTTTTTTTTTTTTTTTTTTTTTTT